GAATGTTACCTTTCCGATGGTTGGAGGACCAGGCAGAGAGCATGGGATAATAGGGACCATTTCTTGGTTGCCTGACATAAAGCTAGGAAGGAAATGGGGTTTGTCCTAACTGGTGGGGTTAGGAGAATATAACTTAGAGAATTTAGCTGTGCAGTGGGGACTCGTGTGCTTAAAGTTCATAAAAACTGACAGAAATTTATAGAAGCACAGATAGTCCTTATATTGCTTACATATGGAATATACTTGAAAGTAAATACGACAACTATTGATTTCATTCCATGAAATTTATATTTCTATTAAAATGATGGTCTATGAAATGGAAAAATTATTTATTTTTAATTTATGCGTTTTTCATATGTTTGCAAATGGCTTTGTTTGCCTGATCCTCTACGCAGTGGTTCTCAAAATATGGTCCTCTGTCCACCAGGGGGCCAAAAGGTCGCCATAATGGGTTGCCCCCACCAATCCCAAAACTTTTTTCTTAAATGCCTGAATGAGATCAGCTCATTAATAACTGCCTACATATGCTTTGCTAAATTTGGTATTTTTAAACCAAAATTAGTGCTTTTTAGAGTTTAGAGAGTTTATGCATTTTACTAATTCAGTATTTTACTAAGATTGTAAGGCTCCTACTGCACATGTGCATATGCAAATAGTCGAATTCCTACAATTGGGGGGAAGGATACGTATTCATTAGCAGTACTGCTTAGAATGATCATGTTTTTTAATCGCTGCTCTTCTTGCTTCTTAACAGCAAATTATTGTTAGTTTTGCTCATCATTATCAATTTAGTTTGTTGTGGGTTGTTTTTAACCCCACAGTTTGCAGTAATGAATATTTATGAATTTTTAGGCTATAATTTTCCAAAACTATTCTGGTATACGCACACTGCATTCAAGTATGAATCATCCATACCCTTATTACTAAAGCAGATGTATACATATTCCCCCTATAATTTGCTAATGTGAGAGCATTTAATTGGTAATGTGTACAGTACATGGAATTTTAGCATGCAAATTACTTACAATATGCTATCAAGGTAAATCTAAAACAAGTATCAAGTTGTTTTATATTTGCATGATATTGTTTTAAAATAAAAAAGCAAACATATGAGCTGATGGTTTAATCTTATTACATAAGTAATAAACACCTTGTATATATTATATATATATTTTTCTTTGCCAGATTTTTATTATCTGGGATAAGCCAAAATTGTGAATCATTACTCAAGGTCAATATTCCCCAAACTGTGTTCTACCAGACGTTAATAGGTGTTCTGCAAATAATGGATTCTTTACTCAGATAAGTTGGAAGAAAGTGCTATGTATTATCTTCCCTTTCTAGAGATTTGCAAGGCCTTTTAGCATATTGCGGTTTTATGTGTCAACTGGGATAGGCCACAATACCCAGATATTTGGTCAAACACTGGTCTGGATATTGCTGTGAAGGTATTTCTTAGAGGAGATTAACATTTGAACCAATAGACTTCGAGTAAAGCAGATTGTTCTCCATAATGTGGGTGGGCCTCATCCAATCAGTTGAAAATCTTAAGAGAGAAAAGACTGACCTCCTCTGAGGAAGAGGGAATTTTGCCAGCAGACTGCCCTTGGACTCAAGCTGCAACATCGACTCTTCTTTGGGTCTGCAGCCTATTAGCCTACTCTGAAGATTTTGGACTTGCCAGGCTCTACAGCTACGTGAGCCAATTGCCTAAAATAACCTCTCTCTCTATAGATACATAGATACATACAGAGATATATAGGTACAAAGATTGATATAGATAAGTATTTATATGCTATGTATGGCATATATGTGTATATATGATAGATGCATATATACACTCTCTATGCATATATATACACACATATACACATAGATGTCATGTATATACATAAAGAGAGAGAAAATGCATACACATACCACCTACTGGTTCTGTTTCTCCAGAGAACTATACACATGTTAAAGGCTCTGAAGAGTTCTACAATTAAAAAACAAAATAAAACCTGTCTACCCAATATTTTCCCAGTTTATTTAACCACAAACAATTTTTCATATAACACCTACTAATAGATGAAAATATAACCCAGGAAATGCTTTTCTCAAGACTTTACCTTAGCCAAAATTTGATCTGTAGCCTACATCAGCAATATTGACTCTAAATCCATTTGATTCAGAAACTAATAGCATAAGTACCGGAAAAAAGATTCCACATGTCCTTTTCTTCTGCACATGAGGTAGGCAGAAGAAAATAACCACATGTTATATGAGCACAATGAGGTGAAATGACCGTTGTGGAGCCAGTTTCACATATAGTGATGTCTGATGTAAATATCTACCAGTGAAGTGGACCTCGTACCTGTGCTTTTGTAAAGTGCTCCTTTGTGGAGGTTCTGGGGGACCAGAGAGTCATACTGGAATAGCATAAACTGCAGTGTAACATGGCACAAGGCAATGTATGAATGGCAGGGAGCCTAACAAGAAAAGCCAACTCTGTCTCCATAGAAGGCCTCGTGCCTCTTTTGTCTCTTATTGTCACTTCTTGAATGTGTTTCCACAAATGGTCCTCAATGACCCCAATTTATCCTTCCGATTTGATCCTAGAAGGAACTTCCTCTAGAAAGCCTTTTCTGACTACATCCCCTACCCTCAACCCACCAGGTCAGCTCTTCCCTTCTCTGTTATGCTCATTCAAACACCATGTACCTCTGCACTGGACCTAACATTGTTTATTTATTAATGCCTGTCTTCCCTACGAGATTGTGAGGTCCATGAGAACAGGGACCATTTCCATCTCGTTTGTCTTAGTGCCTGGTGATGAGTGAAGGAACGAGCGGTTGAAGGAGAGCTTCCTCTCTCTAATTTTCCTCATGATTCTACGCAAATTACCATTTCTTTGTAGCCAAATCCGAGTACTTTTCTCTACTCTGATATCTCTCTAAAGATCTTAATTCTTTCAACCTTAAAAAAAATCTGTGCCGAGAGTCCATGAAATATTCACATATATGTGTGTGTACATATACATATAGTCATGCATCACTTAATGACAGGAACATGTTCTGGGAGATGTATCCTTAGGCAATTTCGTTGTTGAGTGAATACCATACAGTGTACTTACACAAACCTGGTTGGTACAGCCTACTAAACACCTAACCTGTATGGTACTAATCTTATGGGACCACCGTCATATACGTGGTCTGTTGTTGACTGAAATGTCGTTATGTGGCCCAGGACAGTATACACACACACACACACACACAAATACATATGCATGTATTTGTACACATGCATGTACACATACACGTACACCTATACATTCACTTATTCTTGCAAATACTAATAAAACAATCATTTATCAAGCACAAGAGTGAAGAGAGATGGGGAATACAGGGAGTAGCAGTATGTTTAGGGAATGAGAGACTGAATCCAACTACAGCTGTATCATTTTCTGGGTCAAGTAAAATTGTGCAAAAGTTTTCAAAGCTATAAAAAGAAAAGCAGAGGCTCAGTCTAATTCTAGGATCAGTTCCTTTCGCCCTAGCTGCCATTTACCCAGCCTCGTGCTACATACATTGTGTACACTGAAAATGGGTTTCTCTTCCAAGAAACTTCACTGGAAACAAAAGCATTAAGAAAAATAATGCTTTGGCAGATAGATAGGCTTTCATTTCAGGAAATTCAGCAGAGTATCTGGAGGAGGGTGTGTTAGTAAGGACTGTGAGGGTGGCACGCAGTGGATGCCAAGCCTGGCTCCACTCACTCTCTGTGTGCCCTCCACCATCCCCCTGTGGGCCTTCAACCACTCATACTCAGTCCCCCTTTTCAGGGAGAGGCCAGAATGGCAGAGATCTTAGAGCCGACACAGGCTCATCCTCTCCTTCCAACCCTCCACCCAGAGGCAGAAAATCTGTGCCATCCAAACAGAGCGTCTTCTGAAGAGGTTGCTGGTTGGGTTATCCCCAGGCAAGATCTGCAGGTATGGCTCTCCTGGGATCCCTTCTCCTTGGCTCTGCTCCCATTAAGTCTACAGAGAAGTCTGCAGGTGAGACTCTAGATACAATCCAGTCCTGGCATAGAAAAGCTAGGACATGGAGAAGCTAAGGCATTTACATGCCTAAATGCCTCTTCTAGTCAACTCCTTCTCGAGCTCACAGAAAAGCTCAAGCAAGAGCAAGCCGTTCTAACAATAAGGGAACCCCTATCCACCTCCAACACACATATACACACACACACAATCTGCTTGAGACCAGGGAAATCTATACCAGAAATTCTAAAATACGCTAAATTTCACACTTTCAAAAATTTGGACTCCCTACTACAAAGCTTGCTTTTTGGTACAAGAAATGTATTGAATCACAGTAACCTCTCACTTTTAAAACTATGGGGATTGTTTTTGGATTTCCCAGAGAGAGCCAGAGCATGCTTACACTACCAACGAGGCACAACAGATCATTGATAACCCCTTAATGAGGATTAGGCCACCTGTTAAACTGAATTGAAATTCATTGATGTGATCCAGAGTCATTGAAAGACAGGATGCTTTTATAAAAAAAGGCTTTCCAAAACACCCTCTGTCCCATTGATTAAGACACTTATTGAAGGATACCTTTCCAGACTCAGAGCCAAGAGACAGTCATGCTGTCTCTCCCTACACAGGGGGCTGTGTGAAGTTGTTCTGCACTGGGTACAACAAGATGGTCCTCCTGTGGCCTGACACATGTAGCATCATTTCCAAACAGTGGAGGGTAAAGATAGAGCCCCCAGAAGCCATGAAAACCCAAGCATGTTGCAAAAACGTGCTTGGGTTCACTCATTACAAACGAGTTCTTTGGCTTCTCAGAGGAACCACTTGAAGGTCATCTCCACTTAAAATCCTTGGATCAGCAGCTCCTTGTTGCTTCATTATCCAAGTCTACTAAAATTTTTAGAGTAGCTGATGATGAAAATTCCACCCAATTTTTTTTTGCTTCGTGGGGTGGGAGGAAAAAAAACCAACACGTGAGTCTATTTGAAATCATTTTATGAATTTTAATCATAGCAAATGTGTTTTAACAGTAGTCATAAAATCAACATTACCACATATACAAAGGACAAGACGTCAGTTTGGCATACAAAAATACCATATATTAAAATTGGGTTCATTGGAAAAACTCAAGACTTACTAAGACACCATCTACAACAGAGAGCAAGCAAGAATGCTTTTAAGACATTCTGATTTATAAACAGCAGCTTGATATCCTCTTTACAACGTCAATATTTGGCAACATTTGGACAATATTTTCTACACAGCCCAGCAGCTCATTTATCTGTGGGGCTATTTGGCCCTTTAAAAGAAAAGCTCCTAAAATAAATAATCCACATAATTGTAAATGAAACATGTCAAGGACTTGAGTTAACAGCCTCTGAGCAGCATTCATCTAGCCATTTGACTGGAGTATTAGTTATCAAGAGGGCCAGGGAACCCACCAGTGGAGCCGAAAGACTGGCAGGAACCCTGAGCAGCAGCTGCATGGCTTATGTTGGGAGTTTGTAACCACCCCAAGCTGAAACCAGCTTCCTCACCTGCAACAGTCAAGTGAGACAGACAGGAACACGTGGTGGAATAAAAAAATATAATAAATGACAACCACCAGGATAGAAACCAAAATATTCTTGAATAAGTCTTCCCAATGGTATTAACCTATTCAAGTCAGGATACATCCACAGGCACAGACACTGCATTTCACAGTGAAGAGGATGTTATTAGCATTTATCTCTAATGACTCAGCAATGAGCTCTAGAGGCTCTGAAATTGTCTAGTGTGCTAACAACCCAATGGGGCCTCCGTGGATCCTCTCATCAGCTGAGCACATTCCCTATATGTCTTCAACTGAAACATCCTGAATTGAATTTGGTAGCCATGCTGGAATGACAGACTGTGTTTGGCTAAGTTATCCCTAGTTGTTTTGTGTTTCTTTCTTTAGCTGGTTTCTGCCACAACTGACCTTTAGCTCCTATATATTTTGTTTGGAGCTCTAAGTCCATTACGGACTTCCTCTCCCTTTATGCAAGTATTTTCTCACTCTCTGGGTATATCTGCCTCTCTGTTGCTACAGACCCAAGGCCACCTCTCCACCCCTCCCAAACAGGATCTATTTAATAGTTCAGTTGTCTCTCAGCCAGGAAAATCCAACCAGGAATTTCCTGAAGCACAGGGTAAGATACCTGCTACACTCTTCTCCTGCTATTTAAACAGAGATGACATAGATATTAACTGTTCCCCTGAAAGGGGCATTTGCCTCATCCATTTCCTTCTTCTTACAGCCCATGTGCCTTCACCATCATCATATCCAACTGTCTGCTTCTGGATTCTCAAAAAGCAATGTCAAATTAAAAATTGAGCATCCCTTTGGAAAACTCTTGTTAGAATAACCCAATAACTCACACCCCAGGGAGACTACAGAAGACTTTTACATGGGCTACTAGCCCTGCATCCCGTGGTGATGAATTTAAATTAATGTTCTAGAAGAACAGGGACAGCTATACGAGAACACCCCCAGAAAAACAAAGAAAATACATGCTATTGCAGACCTCAAGGGACCCATCAGTACTTTGCCCCAAATATTACTGATTGTCCCTAGAAAGATCATAATATGAATAGTATCAAAAACCTTAGACTAGAACAATAAAGTCCAGCTAACGAGATGAGTGTTTTCAAGCACCACTACATCATAAGTGAGATATACATAGTGGGATACCCCAGGCAGTGAATCCTGAAAAAAAAAAATCATTGGCCCAACTGTGCGAGGAAACTTGTGCAGAAAAATCAGAGCCATATTGCAAGAGTTCAGGAATAATGGTGCTCCACCCATGACCACTTGAGCAGAGCCAAAAAATGCTATTTGAGAGAGAGAGAAATTAAATGCCCCACCTGCTTAATGATCAATGGCTTTCCAATGAAACATACACAGTAGACGCCACCTCTTCATATATTTGAAAAGTTTCAAGAGTTTAGTTATATAGACACTCCCAAAGGTAGTTGGTTTGACGTAATGCATATAGCCAATAGCATTTGTTAAGATATTAACATCTAAATTCAACATTGTATAATCCACAAACTGGAAAACATGACTAACAACATTTTTTACTTGATTTTTTTTAACTCCTATTATAGCTAAATCATGTGTGTGTGTATCTACATATATATATCTATACCTATACAGATATATATCTATATAGATAGGTATAGATATATACCTATATATAGTGAATCAATTGTGTCAGAAAAATCAATGGCTTGAATTTCCACTTATTTTTTAGAAGTATTTCATGTCAAACAAAATTTAGCAACTGATCATCATTGCTTTTGAAATAGATTATTACTTTCAAAAGTTACTGAATTATCTTGACTATCTCTTTCTTCTTTGGAGTCTCTGTTTTGGTAAGGATTACCTTGTGGGTGACATTTTACTGAGAATGATGGAAATGACAAGGAACAGCCTCTCCTTCTAGGTCAAGGATGACAGAGCAACTGACTGACGACACTTCTTATATGGAAACAAAATGCTGACTGGTTGGCAGCATTTTTCTAAGAGAAGCTAGAAATTCAAGCCTTTTGCCTATCACTTCTCTCATAGCAGTAACCTCTGGATCTCTAACTTCCTCTTAAGTTTAAAGAAAAATGACCATTTCAGCAAAAACATTTAAATAATTTTTAAAGACAAGCTAGAAAGAACAGTTATGCCCATTGATGAGTTCTAGAAAAAAAATCAACCTAACTCTGCTAAAGTGAAGCACATGTATTTGGTTTACATTACATTCAGAAACAATAAAAAGCAGACTAACCAATTTTGACACAGTATAGGTTTTCAAATAAAACAACAGGAACTCTTCAAATCAAAATCTAGACTAGAATAAATACTGGGCTATCAAGAGGAGTCTCATCTTTCTATGAAAATACATCTCAAACTGAGTTTTCTGCTTCCTTTCCCTCACTTAGAAAGCAATTTTAGTAACTTTGATAACCCCCAAGTCTGCAAATTCCATGGGCAATGTTTTTTAATGCTAAAAAAAAAAAAAGTGCCTTTGTGCAAGGCTTCAAATCTCCAATTTTTTCAGTGATAACTAAAATAAAAACCCAAACAAGACTAAAACAATGTCAAATCTCACTCTAAAAATAGTACCAATGTTTTAGCCTGGCATCTGAAAAATGATGCCCACATATACCCACACCAAATACAACAAGCTGGCAGACTTCAGGGCAAACCAAAACACTTTCTATGAACACTGCAAAATGTGCTTGCCCTTATATTGCACACCTCACTAATGCAGCAATGACATCTGGGTAAGATGTTGAAAGTGAAGACAGATTTCATTAGGCTTTTTTTTTTTTTTCTGTAACATTTACTTTCGGGCCACAAGACCCTAAACACAATTTCACAGTACAGGTCATGCATAGCTTGCAAGTCAAATGTTTTACAGCTACTGTCAACTACTATTTTTGGACAAGAGATTCACATGCAGCTAATGATCCCAGAAAAGGGGCTTCATAAAGCACTCTTGAAGCTTCACTGATCCTTCCTTGGCCCAAATTATCTAAGTAATAAACTCAAAGGGCAATCAGTGAATTTTTACTGTCATACTTGAGATCATATACTTTTTAAGCCTAGAAAGGAATTTTCTTTTTAGCCAGTTCCATGTTACTAAACCACAAACTGTCTTCTTAGCCTTACTCTGTTACTCCATTAACACTTGGATGCTAGATCCCAATGCACAATCATCCAGAACCACAGTGTTCAATATGATAGCCACTAGCCAGATGTGAGTGACTAAACTTAAATAACTTAAATAAAATACAAAATCCAGTTTCTCAGTCATATTAACCCCACTTCAATTGCCCAATAGCCAATGTGGCTAGCGGCTATTGTATTGGACAGCATAGGTCATAGAACATTTCATCATCAGAGAAGGTTCTGTTGAACAGCACCAATCCAGAAGCACCAATCCCAAGGGCTGCACTAGCACAAGGTTCAACCTCCAGGGGACCTGCTCTTAAGTCATGTGCAAGATTAAACTTAATTATACTCTTAAGGAAAATGCCTTATAGCTTTCTGATCATAAAGTATGACTGGAACTGAGAAGCTATCTGCCTTTCATCACAACTTATGCCCCAGGTCATTATACAAAAATTTTCCAAAGACAATGCTTTTTATAGCATACTTGGCTCTACTTAACATATTAAGCATTCTCTTATGTCCAGATCATTAATAAAGACGAAAATTCATGCTTCTTATAGTTTACTATTTACACAACACTCACTGTCCTTTACATATAAGAGGAGGAGGGGGAAACCAACAGTTTGCAATTTAAAAAATTCAAATCACATGGTTTTCTTTGAATGTCTATGCTCTTCCTTAAATCAACCCTCCTTTCATTTCCCATAGAGGTAGATGCTAACTGAAACGAATACATAAATTTACAACAACAACAAAAAAACTTAAAGCAATAGTTGAGTTAGTAAAGGGTATCACCCACCCTGAAAAGGATCAGAGGCCAACAGAGATGTTGACAGGCCTACGAAGGAGCGAGAGGAGCCTGCAGTGTAAACGTTGCTGTCTCCCTTTGGCTCCAAAATCACTAGCTCCCACACACCTCTGTGGCCCTCAGTGGACTCATCCATAAAATGAAGCCACCAGAGGTTGCTTCCAGCTCTAACTTTCTGTGCTTTCAGTTGTGATTTTTTTTCACGGACGTGCAACTGTGAATTCTGGCTGATTGTGTTACTGGACTTTAGTCACATGGAGTAGAGGAGTTGTTAGTGTCATGGGTAAATGCCAGAAAAGACCAGAGCAAGGGGATGACAAATAACATTAAAACATCATTAAATCTATAAAAATTCTATCTGGCAGGCTGAGACATCACACACATACACACACACACGTGCGTGAATGCACACCCTAACAAGCAAATAGACTAATAACTGCAGGCAGAATCCATTCAAACAATGTTTCTTATGTCAGTAAGATTCACACAAAAAATTCTGACTTGGGTCGTTATTGTTTTTTTAAATTGTAAAGTCAAGAATCTATCAGAGAGATGATTAATTTTGCACTGCTTAATCATGGCTCTAGCATGGGGTTATTCTGAAGTAAAAGTTACATGGGCATTTTTACCCCATGGTTTCCCACTAAAAAATACAGGTGCTGTATCCTCACACACATTAGTGTCTATATGTAACCTACTTAACATGTAGAACTCTATCACACACTACACTACAGAGCCAGTCATTTCATACTGTACATAAATGTATGTAGATATCATCCACAAAACTAATTGGAATGTGGCATGGCTTAAAATTACAAGGGTAAAGTCCATTTGAAATGCAGCATTCTTAATGCAACATTTCTGTGGGGTTTTTTTTCCCCAAGAGGAATAGAAATTAGGTCAGACATGCATTACGGCAGCCTGGAGAGTCTGAGAAATTGACACTAACCCAACAATATATTATGTTACATAATAGAGGATAGTATTCAGCTAATATGATACCTAAATTATTAATACCAAATAAATCCTAGATTATTCGTTGTATAATGCCCAATAGCTTACACAATAAAATGGCATTTTAACCTAATTTCTACTTTGAGCTTTCAAAGACATTTCCTAAAGGTCTTACGACAAATTTGAAAGATCTGAAAAATCTGAGTTCATATTTTTATATCAAATCCTCACACCAAAGAACAGTGTTAGCCTTGGATTCTAGGTATTCTATTGTCATTTTATCTCCCATTTATTCCATCACTTAATGTGCATATTGTGTGCTGCTTGAAGGTAACAGCATATAAGTAAATTAAATTGTCTCAGTGTTACAGGTTATGTCTAGCCTTGCTTTTTGGAAGCGTCAGTGCTCATCTTTCCCTCCCCCTATTTTCAAGGATTCAATGGAACATAAACAGATATATTTATGAGAGGAGTCCTTGTCACATATCGCTTGCTTCACGAACTCCATAAAAGAAATTAGAAGAGAACTGTAAAGCTCACAGCTATCTCAGAATGCACACACATCCCAGCAGAGGAATTTACCATCTGAGACCAGCAGATCTTGCTTCACGAGCATCTATAGACCATTACACATTTAAGGATATCTGAGAATTGATGATGAACTGGTCCACTTAAATTGGGAATGTAACTTGTTAGTTTATCTCACCACTTTTCTCAATAAAAACATATTTTGAAATACAAGAGATTTTCTCACTCATACCAACAAAAGGAAACTGGAATTCTAAACGGTTTAACTTTCATGGAAAAATATCTTTCAAAACATAATCACGGACTGTCTATTAAAATGCCAGTCCAGGTTTGTCATCCATTAACAACACTCAAGGCTATTATAATACCCCAAACCTGGGAGACAAGATAGATTCTTCTGTTAGTCTCTAATTGTGCCTCATAGAATACAGGACTTGAATGCACAGAAGAGGAGCAAGTGTCGGAAGTGACATATATGTGACACCTCACTGGGAGTGTCTTGGTGCCCATGAGGCAGCCACCATTTTGGACCCTGGACTCATTTGCACCCACAAAGTCTTACCCCTGGGATTCTTCTGAAAAGATTCAAAACCTGAGGTAAATCAATTACACACACACACACATATACACACAAATACACAATATTTACATCTAAAATTCTTATTTTGTGAGATGGCTTGAGAAAAATTGGCCTACAGGTTTCCTGTGGGGTTAGGCATTTCTCATTATTACTCAGTTTATTGCTCCCCTGTTGGGCGTTCAGTTTAATAAACACGTAGCAAGCTCTAATTACAAGGGGAAGAAAAATGAAGATACCTGACAAAACACAACACACTGGAAACACTTGTTCAAATATTTTCTTCAAAAAACGACTGCCTGCTTAACTTACTTTAATTTGGGTGCCATTCAAAAAGTATAAAAAGCCTTAGCAACTAAATGAAGACTAGGTTTTGTTTTAAAAAAAGGAAAGAAACCAGCACTGCATGTCACCGCTGAATTTTTACTTGGATTCTCAGGTTTAATTCTACTTGTACACATAGCATCTTTGTTTGAATCTACCACATTTAGAGAAGATCACATTGTATGCACTGGCACAGTTTAACATCTAAGTAGAGTATGTCTATCTTGTAACATGATTTTGAAAAATCATAAATTACAATCCATTTAATAAATGATTATGAGGATGCATGCAATCGTCTTCAAAGCCGTCGCCATCAATACTCAGAGCGATCTGGGTGGCGTCTTGTTGAGACCTCACACTCTGCCCTTCATGTCAGTCTTCGGATAATCAAATGGCAGCCCAGAGGCCAGTGCTCGGCACCAAATGATCAGCATCGCTCCCCATCTTCTCATCATGATCCCATCACCAACATCTGCTCAACCCCTAGTTGGCACCCACAAGAGACTCCCTGCAGCCCTCTTCAGCCACAGGATATCACAGTGAAGCGCTTAGAAATGCAGGACATGTTGTGGAGCACGATGCCGAGAAGGAAGACCAGGACGCAGGCCACCAAGATCACAGTGCACACCCCAGACCAGGTGGAGCTTTTCACCACACCCCGCCTGTCTTGCTCCTCCTCCGCTGCCTCCTGGGGAGCCCCGCCTTGCAGAGGCTGCTGTTCGGCAGGGATGGTCACCACGGTGACAGACTTCTGCTGGCTCCCAGGCAGCAGGCGGCAGCCCATGTCTCCGGGCAACAGCGCTCGCTCCTTGGAGATGGGCAGGGGCAGCATGTAGCACCCATTGCTGGGAAGTTTGATGAAGACTGGGGTGTGCTCGGAGGCATGCGGGATGGCAATGACAGCAAGGACCTCGGGGTCATCGGGGAGCTGCGACACGGAGAAGCCCGGGGGCAGCTTGGTGATGCCCCGGCACCAGGGGCACCTCACATCCTTCTGGCTCGTCCTCATCTGCTGGAGGCACACCGAGCAGCAGGTGTGTTTGCAATCCAGCAACTTGGGCCTTCGCCGGGGGCTGTAATAATTGAAACAGATCTGACATTCCAGCAACGAATCTTGGGAGAGTGTCTCCATTGTGGATGGTGAACAGAAAAGTCAAGGCCAAGGGGAAGGAGATTGTTCTCAGAGTCCTCCACTCCGGCACCTTCCTTCTTCGAGTCTTTCCAAAGCTGTGAGGTGATGGGGGAGCTCAGAAGCATCTAGCACTCTTAGGTGTGTTCATATCTGAAGGAGACAAAAAATGCAAAGTTAGTTATTTCAAACAAGCTGAGATGTCAGCATATCTAATGGATTTATACCACTGCTCAAAAGTCTTGACACTGGGTCAAAAGCATACAATTTCCCTCTCATGAGACTGTAGGATTCCCATAACGTCCAGTGGAAGATGGATGAGTTGTCTCAGATGCCTTGTCACTGTGAATACTTTGCTCCCTTCTAAAGAAACAAATACCTCTGTGGGGGTATACGATGCCCCCACACTTCACAAACACAGAGTCTGTCGTTTCTGTTTTGTACATTTCAGTGGACCCTGGATTGTTCTTTCAAATACCCTGGAGAAAGTCTCTTGCTTCCAAAAAGTTTGTAGCATTTCCTAAAAGTAAATTTCTTTCCTTGCATCCTCTGACCTTCTTTTCCTGACTCTACTGACCCTCCTATAAGCATTCATTGCCAGATGTGGGCAACTTCACAAATCCAGGTACTTCCTGTCACTAGCTTGCCCACTTTCAATAGGTTAGAACTATTCCTCTCTCACAGGTAATTAAAAGGATGCCACCAAAGAAGCACAGGCAGACATCTATTATCTCTTCCACCAAATCAATTGAACCAAGGTAATTCTTGTCAATTGGTTTTAAAAGAGACAAAAATAAAACAACAAAAAAGACCAAAACAACAACAAAACCAGCAGCTACAATAAACCTTCAGGCAGTTGGGGTTACCAAGGCACACAGGACCACTAGGATTTCAGATCACCAGGATTTCTCAGTCAATTCTTTCAATTTCATTACTATTTAGGTTGCACCAAGTAACACAACTACAAGCGAATACTATTAATTCACTTATCATAATCAAGTATTATATAAAAAAGGTTGACAGAGAGGACTCGCAGGCAGCCCTCACCCTAAGAAGAAAAAGAGTTACCCTTCTGGTATGGACAGGAGGCAGAGTAACTTAGTCCTTCTTCAACTTCACTGGGGTTTGAGGCCCCGTTCCCCCACCGAGTGCTCCAGCAGTGTTTCAGTGAAAGCTGCCCATCCCCGTTTCCTATTGAAAGCATCCAAATTATGTCTCTGGATGGAGCCAGGATGACTCTGGAAAGAACTATTCAACCACTATCGCAGAAATAATTGCTAGTCCTAGAAACCCACCTACACCCAGAGGCAGGAGCTAATAACACAGAAAAGCTTCTTGACACTTTTCTTAAAAAATTAACCTTCTTTGTCTTTCTAACTTCCTTCGTGAAATTAAGTCACCCCTTTGTGTACCCCTCCCCAGTGAGACACAATTCGTTAAAATCAAAATTGAGAATGCAGAAAAAGTTAAGTTTAAAGTCAAAAATAATCACTGATAAAAATTAACAGTGATGATCAAAATAGCAATATATTTCAAAATATTTTAGCTGCAGTAAGAGCACCTAAATTGAATTACTGAAAGTAAAATATAGTAATAAAGCATTCAGAAAGCTCACATCATAATCAACTACTTATCTATCCACTAATTCAAGAAATATTTACTGGATAATTGAAGTTTGCTAAGAGTAGAACTTAAATGTTCTCACCAAAAAGATAAACCCACACATCTCTGGTCAGCTAATTTTCAACAAGGGAACCAAGCACCTACAATGGAGACAGGAAATTCTCTTCAATAAACGGTGTTGGGAAAACTGGGTAGCCACATGCAAAAGAATGAAAGTAGACCATTATCTTACACCATACACAAAACATAACTCAAAAGGGATTAGACTTGAATGGAAGACCTGGAACCATTAAACTTCTAGAAGAAAACACAGGCAGTACACTCTTCAACATCAGTCTTAACTGCATATTTTTATACATGGGGCAAGATGGGGCAAGGGAAACAACAGAAAAAAATAAACAAATGGGACTATATCAAACTAAAAAGCTTCTACACAGCAAAGGAAACCATCAACAAAATGAAAGGACAACCTAACAATTGGGAGAAGACATTTACTAACCATATATCAGATAAGGGGTTAATATCCAAAATATACAAAGAACTCAAACACCTCAACAACAAAAAAACCAACAGCCCAATTAAAAATGGGCAAAAGATGTGAACAGATATTTCTCCAAAGAAGATATACAAATGGGCAACAGGCACATGAAAGGATGTTCAACGTCATTAACGATCAGAGAAATGCAAATCAAAATTACAATGAGATATCATCTTACTCCCATCAGAATGGCTATAACTAACAAGACAGGAAACAATCAATATTGGAGAATATGTGGAGAGAAGGGAACCCTCATATACTGCTGATGGGAGTGCAAACTGGTGCAGCCACTATGGAAAACAGTATGGAGATTCCTTGAAAAATTAAGAATAGATCTACTGTATGATCCAGCTATTCCTCTGCTGGGCATTTATCCAAAGAACATGAAATCACAAATGCCTAAAGATACATGCACCCCTGCATTCATCATAGCATTATTCACAATAGCCAAGACTTAGAAGCATCCTAGGTACCCATCAAGGGACGAATGGATAAAGAAGATGTGGTATATACACATAATGGAATACTACTCAGCCATAAGAAACGATGACATCTGGCCATTTGTGACAACATGGATGGACTTTGAGGGTATTATGCTAAGTGAAATAAGTGAGAGGAAGAAAGTCAAATACCACATGATCTCACTCATAAGTAGAAGATAAAAACAAAAAGCAAACACATAGAAACAGAGATTGGATTGGTGGTTACCAGAGGGGAAGGTGGAGGGAGGAGGGGGAGAGGGGTGATTAGGCTCATGTGTGTGGTGATGGATGGTAATTAGTCTTTGGGTGGTGATCATGTTATAATCTACACAGAAATCAAAATATATAATGATGTAAACCTTAAATTTATATAATGTTATAAACCAATGTTACTGCAATAAAAAATAAATTTAAAAAATATGTGAGGTGATAGACATGTTAATTAACTCAGCGGAGGGAAGACTTTCACAAGATGTATGTCAGATCACCACGATGTACATTTTAAATATCTTACAATTTTATTTGTCAATTATACCTCAATAAAGCTGAAAAAAAAAATACAGAAATACCTATTGAGTATCTATCACGCATAAAGCACAATGCTAGCTACTGTAGGATATAAAGATGAATCAGATCCAAATCCTACTCTTAAGCAATTTAAAGTTAGGTAAGAATGAACAAATGGATATATTTTCTCTTCAATTTGCTTATTCATTCAAATTCTCATTGAATATCTACCACATTACAATTGAATCACATTAAATATCTACCACGTGTCAAGCATTATGGTATTTATTTTTGTCCCTTGCAACTAAGACCTTGTCACTGCCCATAAGAAACTCTGAGCCCAGAAGTTCTCAAACAGTTATGCACGTAAACAGTTGTAATGTAAATACAAAGTGATACACGCCATACAGGAGCTGGAGGAGTCAGGGATGGCTCAGCGAAAAATCTGGGTTATAGAGAGGATTTAGACATGTAAAATCCGGGGACAGGTTATTTTCAGGTTCAGAAATCAGCATGAGCAAAGGAAAGGAGGTGAGCAATCACAGAATGATTTCTATACTCTGGCTGTGACACACTGGGTAGAAAGTTTTTTCTAATACAAGAGTAACTTACAGATGCCGTCTCTAAGAGTTTTATAGATTTAGCTCTTACGTTTAGGTTTTTGCTACAGAAGACTTTTAAAGAAACAGAATTCTCACAAAACCTGCAAGCACCCTCCCACAGGCCCAGCCAGGGAGAGCAGGTCCCATAGGAAGGGGAGAGATGAGCATAGCCAGGCACAGGCCACAGGCCACAGACCACAGACCGTGGACAGCCTCAAGAGCCAGGCCAAAGATGTGGGACTTTCTAGTGGGCAATGGGAAAACACCAGAAAGGTTAAGACTATGAGAATGATTCATCAGGCAGCCATATTCAGGATAGACTGGAAAGACCTGCTGGGAAGCTATTATAATATTAGACGAGATAATGAGTAGCTGAGGAAAATAGTGGCAATTACGATGGAGAGATGAAAACTGCTGAGAGGCCTTACAGAAGTCGAGTGGGATCTGGCAGTGTATTACAATGAGGTTGTAAGCGGGGTGAAGTCTTGAGAGAAGGGTGGTATCATTAAGAGAAACAGGGATGGCGAAGAGAAAGACAGAGAGTTCCATTTTGGCCATATTCCATTTGAGGTGCAGGAAGATGGAAAAAATAAGTTATTCAGGAAGATATTAAAGAGCCAAAAAGAAGCTGAAAATGTGGAGCTGATATTGCAGCAAAAAGTAAGGACTGGCCCTAAGAGATCCAGGTGGCATCCACAGAGAAGAGATACCAGCCAGATAAAACAGAACAGAGAGGTCAAAAGGAAGAGGGCCAGAAGTAGGGGAAACCCATCAATGTCTCCCAGCACATTTCCCAGGCAAAAGAGTTCCAAGCAGCATAAGGTTATGGGGAGCGAACATTAAGAAAAGACTGGGGGCCAGCCCCATAGCCAAGTGGTTAGAGTTCTGCATGCTCTGCTTCAGCAGTTGGGGTGTGCGGATTCGGATCCCAGGTGTGGACCTACTGCACTCATCAGCCATGTTGTGGAGGTATCCCACATAAAAAAATTGGAGGAGGGTTGGCACAGACGTTAGCTCAGGGTGAATCTACCTCATCAAAAAAAAGAATAAAAAAGAAAAAGACAAGACTTGGGGTTCAGTGACCAGGAGGTCACTAGCATTTTTGATAGTGGTCTCAGCAAAGTATCAGGGTTATGATGGAGACTGGAGGGGGCTAGTATGTGAATATTAGATTCCCCTGTGAGGTAGTGTGAAGTGAAGGGGTAGGATGGTGGCTTGGAGAGAGAAGAATCAAGGAATGCTTTTTTTTATTTTCAGAAGAGACATTTGAGCACAGAGGGGCAGAGGAGGCAAGTTAGGGCGCTCAAAGCCAGATGGTCTGGTCCAATACAGTGACCCCCAGGCACAGGTGTAAGTGGAAGGTAGTATGTGGAGCTTAGAAAGGGGGAAATGTGTGGACCA